ATAAAAAAATATAACATTTGTTTGCTCGCATTATTTCTTAAGTTCTTTATCTTACTATCTCATGCCTGATTATAGACTTTGCCACCTAATAGTCCTGTTTTTTACACCTGTTGTTTTTGTACGGCGCCACCGTAAAGTTTTCCACCGTAGAGTCTTACGCCATAGATTCCCAGACCCACTTACATTCACCGTGTAGATCTCCTGTAAGACTAAGACTAAGAGTAAGAACATTTTAAACTCTGTTACCATTGAGACAGTTTCAAGTAGAACGAGTCACCGTGTAAAATAAACCGTACTATTATAGCTGATCATTGGCTGTTTATGACATATAATACTATTCACCGACGTTTTTAGCAAACTGCGATTGTCATGACTACCTCAGTACCTCTCGATCCTCGTTATAATTAACATTATTATCTTGCTATACGTGGTGTTGGCTTTTATTTTCCGTTTCACTTTTGCAATTTCATCTATTTTGTCTTGGTCTAACTAGTGTGCTATCGTATCATGCTATCGTACCATGTTAGTTTACAATGCTTTTAGTCATTAGTGTCGCTCTTTTGTGATATTTAATGATCAATCTGCAGCACTTAGTTCTCTATTCATCCATCTGCGAAGAACATATTAGCTCACTTTTGATTATTTGAACCTTTGGTTATTGGTACATCTGTCAGTGTCAATGCAATCACGTCTACGATTTACTTTATAACGAAGCATCCTTCATCCTAGTTATCATAGACATTAGACATGGAGTAAATTAAACTGACTCTACTAACAATCAGGTAAAATATGACTTTACGTATTTGCACTGGTCCCAGTTATTTCGTGTGTTTTAAGTAGCACATCCCTGTTTTCTGTTCTCTGACCGATAGACTTAATAAATCAATGTGTGATTATTGTTTAAGAAAGTTGCCGGTAAATATCTTTTATCGGAAAGCCTGATCATTAAGTTGCACTTTATACAGGGTGGCCCATGATAGTCTACCCATCCTTATCTCTTAAAATTGTTACAGGTCGCTGAGATCTTGCTAATTATTTTAAAAACAAAAAGTGGCATAACTTATGTTCTGATAAATATTTTTTCTTCTAAATTTCACAGAATGTTAATAACAAGTAGATGAACCTTTGTGGCAAGTTTTGTGTGATTGAGAGCTTCACTGAGCTTATTTGACCAATTAAGCCCCTGAGCGAGCTAGCTTGAATTTCTCACCCAGAACTGTTTACATTGGTTAATAGAAACCACCAAAAAAAATCCTGGGTAAAAAAATTAAAAAACCACCGATTTATTTATGTTTTACCAATTCTATTCACCACGATGCATCGCACATTCCATTCTCTACACTGCTGTACAGTGTACATCCTATATTTTAACTGCAGATAAGGACTATCACAGATGATCCTTCCTGCTTGTTTATATCGTTCTGCTCACTTGCCTTAACAAATTTAAAATTATAGCTGGATGATTAGCCTACAATTTTATCGATTTTACAAACGGTGGTTTGAAATAGGTTTACAGCAGGTCAGCCGATTCCCATGAGATGAGTAAATAAACTTGAAAAGAAAACAAACGATAACGTAGATTTCCGGTCGATAATCCATAATCTTATGAATTCTCATGGGAATTTTACGATAGCAGGGATAGATTTCCCCCTTAAAAGTCGCAACAATTTATTAACCATTAACGATCATCTCATCATGCCTCTACTAACTCTCCAGCAACGGATATTTATTGTTTCTGAATCCAAGGATACCCCCTTCGCAGCTCTTATCCAACTGTTAATAGCGAAATTCCCTGGAATCACTCCCCCTACTAGGAAAGCAGTCTACAACCTTAAGAAGAAATTTACAGAACATGGAGTTGTCACCAACCGACAAAAGGATGCATCTGGTCCACCATCTACGGGAGTGACCTTTGAGAACACTGTGGCTGTAGTAGGATCTGTGGCAGACCACCCCAGGCAATCGACCAGAAGACGTTCGGCCAATCTTGGCATACCTACGACGACTTTGCAACGCATTCTGAGGACTGAACTGAAACTGTACCCTTATCGCTGGACAGTTCACCACACTCTGCAGCTTCAGGATCCACCAGTTAGAGTACGCTTTGCTGACTGGTTGCTTCTGAAAGATTCCACAAACGAGGACTTTATCGGAAACATCTGGTGGACCGACGAAGCCAAGTTCTGCCTCCACGGTTCCGTCAACAGCCACAACGCAATACACTGGGGCAGCCAGAGACCTGACAGCGTGCAGCAGAGACCTACTCAGAACTCTCCAAAGCTGAACGTCTGGTGTGCGACCTCTTCTCACGGAATCATCGGACCATACTTCTTCAAGGATGCAGCTGGTGCCACTGTAACTGTGAACGGAGATCGCTACCTACAGATGTTGCAGAGCTTCTTCATACCAGAACTCTTCAACTTCTGTGCACACCACGACCTGGATCCGTCTCTCATGAGCTTTATGCAGGACGGGGCGAGAGTGCACATCCCCAACCGCATTATTGATTACCTTGGTGACCAGTTTGGGAGCATGACGATCGGAGAGAAACTTGCTCAACACTGGCCAGCCCGCTCTCCTGACCTCACTCCTTGCGACTTCTTCCTGTGGGGATGGTTGAAGGATAAGGTCTACGAGAGTCTACCCATCCCCAACCTTGCTGCTTTAGAAGTTGTCATTCGTGACAACTTGCGGAACATCCCCATCACTCACTGCCAGAACTCCTGTTTATCAGTAGCCAAGAGGATGGACGTCCTGAAGAGCCGAGGCGGTGGTCACATTGAGCACCTTCTCTAAACGGTGATTTTAATCGCCAACACAAACGGTGATTTTAATCGCCAACACAAACGGTGATTTTAATCGCCAACACAAACGGTGATTTTAATCGCCAACACGGCGGGCAATGGATGAACCTTCTTGTGGTGCCTGCCGAGAAACGCAATTCAATTGATTTCAGTATCGATAAAATTGTAGGCTAATCATCCAGCTATAATTTTAAATTTGTTAAGGCAAGTGAGCAGAACGATATAAACAAGCAGGAAGGATCATCTGTGATAGTCCTTATCAGTTAAAATATAGGATGTACACTGTACAGCAGTGTAGAGAATGGAATGTGCGATGCATCGTGGTGAATAGAATTGGTAAAACATAAATAAATCGGTGGTTTTTTAATTTTTTTACCCAGGATTTTTTTTGGTGGTTTCTATTAACCAATGTAAACAGTTCTGGGTGAGAAATTAACGCTAGCTCGCTCAGGAGCTAATTTTGCCAGACAAGCTCAGACTCACACAAAACTTAGCACGAAGTTGTGTCTAATTATGATTGACATTCTCTAAAAATTTGAAGCAAAAATATTAATCAGAACGTAAGTTATGGCGCTTTTCCATTCTGAAATAAAATAATAAGCAAGATCTCAGCGACCTGTAACAATTTTAAGAGATAAGGATGGGTAGACTATCATGGGCCACCCTGTATATAGATAGTGTTACTGATTCTGAGAAAGAATAAGGCATAGAGCTAGCATTATTTCTCATTACCTCATACCTGATTAGGTTGACATTCACCCGGGACCTTAGTCGTGCTCAATGCTCTTTGACACAATTTATATGGTGTCATGTCATGGTGTCATAGGATATTGGTAATTTCTTTATTGAAAGTCTCGCATTGTCGTCCTCATTTTGGCTTCATCTATCCATCTTAAACTGCCAGATATAAAATCATGGAGTTTAACATGCAATTGCGTACACACTTAAAAATTCTCGTTAATCCTCACATCTGTTCTTTTTCTCAAATTCTAGGCGAACAACTGTTTAATTCAAACTACTGTTCAATCGAAATCGAAATTTTAATTTCACATTCTTATTTGCCATTTCATGTTAGATATAATATAAGTAGCAGTGGACGATTTCCGTTACCTCAGCTCTGTAGTCTGGAATGTACTCTGCCAATTGCAACACTTGACTAAATTTATTTTATATAATTATACTGTTTGACACTTTTATATAATTTGCTATTTTAATTCTTGAAACTGTTGTAAATCTTGTTACTTTGTTACCCTTACGTATGCTATTTATGACAATCTTCTACGGTAAAATCGTTATTATCACTCCAAGCCTTACTTGGTAACACTGTCCAACCTTCTTCTTCATATTACTACAAAGCTGTCCTCAATAACATAATATAGTTTTCGTCAGTCTCACTCAGAACATTTTTCTCAGGTACACATTTGTTTACACTCATTCTCAATGTTTGGCCCTTAAATCTTCCCCTGTACATTCAACAAATATATCCCGAATAAGGTGTCCACTATATAGTTACATAATATTATGTTGTGATCAATGATCGCGTTGTTTATCGTGAGTTGGCACTTGATGAATGTATAGTAGTGGGCCAATCAGGTTTATCAGCGTCTTTATCAACGCACTGTTCATTATTATTCTACCCTGATTCCGGATTCGCTATATAAGGATTGAATGGAAAAAAGGCAACCGCCCTGTGTAAACTATTTGAGCTCAATTAAAATGTAATAGCGTGTACATGGTTAATACTTATAGAATGGTGACTGGTGAGTGTGATAGCTCCTTCCGCATAATATAAGATGAATCTGAATATTTCAAACTCTGGTTACCACGGAGACAGTCTCAAGTAGAACATACACGAGTTGCCGTGTCAAATTAACCATAATAATTCAGTACCATTATCATTAGCGGTTTATGACGTAGCTTATATCAGCAGCGATGTTTTTACTGCTAGCTTTATTGTTTTCAGTTGTCTCATTTATTTCAAAGGTACCGTACGCGTACCGGCCTTAACTTGTCTTTAACTATAAATTTAACGATATACGCAGTCATTTTAGATGTAACTGCACATGCTGCCATGCTGGTGAGAGTATAAAGATGTAACAAGCTTCGACGGTAAAATCGTTATAATCACTCTAAACCCAGCCCAACTTGGCTATACTGTCTAACCTTCTCCTTCATATTAATATATAACTGCGAAGCTGTCCTCAACAACATGATATAGTTTCCTCTGTCTCACTGAGAAATTTTTCTAGGTAAATTACATAGCCTTCCTTGCTATATGATATAATTTATCGTGAGTTGGTACTTTATACATGTATAGGGTGTAGTGGTCCAAAAGTCAGTGGGTATATGTTGGCCTCAATTGCTCCGCCGTGTTTTACATTTGAGAACTGTAGCTTTGCAGATGTAATGCCATATAACTGTTTTTACCATGGTAAATGGTTCGACGAGATTCCGTCGTCGAAATTTATGGTTTTGCATATTTGCACAGTGGAACTATCAGGTTTATTAAGTATCAACGTCTTTATCAACGCAGCTGCGCATAATTATTCTACTTAGTTTAACTCTCTTTCTATTTTAGCTGAATTCCATTCCCTCCCTCTTCGAGATGATTGCTTCCGTCAATTGCGAAGGACTCGCTCAAGGTAAGAAATTGACTCTCACGTATTTTTATAAGTTCAGATTAATCGTTTTAGCGATATAATATAATACTAAGACAAAAGTTCCGATTTTATGCGAATATTCAATTTATTTGTTTAGAGTTTGCCATGAATAAGTATTAAGTATTTGTTAATGTGGCGGCTAGAATAACTAGATTAGCCATCTTGAGCTATGATTTATCATGAAATACTTACAATTTCGACAGTTGCTTTTTAAACCTTAACTCGATAATTTTAGATAGAGAGATAATATTAAGACGAGCGGATCGATAAATCGAAGAATTAATTCATAAACTCGATTGTGTTTCATATAGTTTCATCTGCAAGATGGTAGACTTCTTCACTTCTCAGTTCTCAAAGCTCGACGATCTTCATATTATATTATACTTATAGGATAAAGGTTGTTATTTTATTTTTTAAATTAAGTACATTCATTTAACAATTCACTTTATTTGATAGCTTCTTTTGATTAACCCCTCCAAGCTCGATATTATATTTTATCATTAATATTATCTGCCATTTGTTCAATTAGTTACATTTCCAGGGTCAAATTACAGATAGTAATTGAGAGCGGCTTTAGAAATCAGGGAACGTGACCTATACATAGCATAGATTATCTCTTAATCAGGTAACATGTTAAATTGAGGGTAATTGTTACAATCTCTTAATGTGTACGGCAGATTATATCGTTAGTCATAACAAATATTTGTCCACCTACATGTTTACAATTGGCCCTTACTCACACATATAACCAATACTCCACACTTTCCTGTTACTGGCGACCCCAGGCTATAATTATCATTAACATAGACATTCGGTGAAATGAAAGGCTGGGCGCCACCCAGTCTGAGGGTTACTGTGCCCAGTAACTCCACCGTCTACACGTGCGCGCGGCTCTAACCGTGCTTCAATCGAAGCAATGCTAATTATAGTGGTTACACTCACAGTCACACACACACACACACAGAATAGTAAACCTAAGAGTTCATGAATCCGATATTTTGGAACAGTAAGACAGAATTGAGACAAATTTGGAACAGGCTTTTGGGGCAGTAGTTATGCCTGGACTGACTTAAAATTGATCTGGTATAAGGGGCATGGGAACTAACATGTTCAGTCACTGATCAGAAGTGCCAAATGATCCCCTGGTTCATGAAATGAACGAAATGAACAAAAATGAACTTTCCATAAAATCGCCTGAAATGAGTTGAAATCAATCAGAATCGATTGGTATTGATACTAGGAGTATTCCTGAAAAGTTTGGAGGCTCTAGCATGCTCAGAAAGGGCTCTAAGGGCAATGTCCCATTTTGGTTTCAGAGTAGTTGAGATTTTGGAACTGGATTGAGACAAATTTGGAACAGGCTTTTGGGCAGTAGTTATGCCTGGACTGACTTAAAATTGATCTGTTATGGTAGAGGGGCAATGGGCATGTGAACTAACATGTTCAGTCTCTCAGAAGTGCCAAATAATCCCTTGGTTCATGAAATGAACGAAATGAATAAAAATGAACTTGATCCTAAAATCGTTGTAATCACTCTAACATCTAAACCCAGCCCAACTTGGCAACACTGTCCAACCTTCTCCTTCATATATGATATAATTGCATAATTCTCCTTAGTAACCCGTCCCCGTCGCCATAGTTACAGACGTAAACAGGACATGAGTGGAATATCGTTCATAAAAGGCTATAAGCAAGCATACTAACTAATCCGCTTTACCAAGGTGTGTCATATAATGTACATACAATTATTTACACGCAATATTTGGCGCTTAAATCTGCCCCGTACATTCAACAACTATATTCCGGGCGAATAAGGTGTCCACTTCATAGTTAAATATTGTGATCATTTAGTCGCGTTGTTTATCGTGAGTTGGTACTTGATGAATGTATATAATAAGGGCGGGCCAAACATCAGTTGGTATACGTTGGCCTCAATAGCTCCGCCGTGTTTTACATTTTACTGTAGCTTTGCAGATGGCATATAACTGTATTTACTATGGTTCGACGAGATTCCGTCGTCAAAATGTATGTTTTTGCATATTTGTACAGTGGAACAATCAGGTTTATCAACTATCAACGTCTTTATCAACGCATTATTATTCTACTCAGTTTAACCCTCTTTCTATTTCAGCTGAATTCTGTTCAACGAGTACAGTAGACACAAGACAACCTCAAGAAAGCTTCTAGACTACTCCGCTTACTGTCACAACACTATGTAAGTTCATAATTTTACGAATTTAAGAATTATAACACATTTCTTTCTTATTTAAATACCTGAACCTTTTTCTATTGAAATCTTCTATATTAATCAATTGTATTATATTTATATAATATACAGTGCAGTATACACTATACATTACACAAATATGTTAACTCAAGGTAGTAATCAAGTTTTAATTTATGGACCGAACTGAAAATGTATCAAAGGTAAACAAAGGATCCATACCCCTGTTGCCAGAAATAGACTTTAATAACACTGTAAAAAACGTACTGTGCAGAATTTGGGCTCAACGTATTTGAGCATACAAGATTTAATATATTATTTGAACTTAATCTAAAATCCTCAATCTAAATAGTTTCTCCAAAATGTCTTATTTAATTAATTACCATTAAGTAAGTATACATTCAATTTGAACATATGATTTATAATATATCCAAACAAATGTGTAATTCACCGGTTGACTCATGATTAGGTCTCCGCTATTTTGCGATAAACGAAAATTGAGACGAGGTTACTTAAAATATATCGTTAGTTATAACTAGTATGTCCCTCTTCACCCTGTCACTCAGTCCTGGCACGATTCCTTCAATATCTTCCAAATTAAAAATATGTCCGCATTCATTTGTGAGAAGTTTAATGACTCCTTCCGTGAGTTCACAGTCCAGAAAGGGTCTGTTGTCACTATAGGACGTCAGCTGGCATGCTAACGCTTTTGCAAAGAACTCCCTATCTTCTTTCGTCACTGTGCGTCTAGGTTCTGGAAATATTATGACTGATATTGCTGATTCTTCACCACTCGCAGGAGCACAAAGTTAAATTGTTGTTGTTGTTATCATTACTTTTCGATAAAAGCAAAAAAGCACAGTTTAGGCATGAACGTTACAAATATTACATGTGATTTAAAACATTCGGTACTAAGTACTCAGTACTCACGCATGTCTACATCCGACCTCCTCTGCTTGTTATTCCGTTCCCGGAGTCTTTGAATGAGTGGGTCTTGGGAAGGTCTGCAAACATCGCAGCAAGTATCGTTATAAACGTTGTCATGCAGCTTGAGTACCCCTGATGACATTTATGTCATCGCATTGAAATGGCTAAAATTTGTGATTTCAAATGCCGTTGGAGAACTTAAAGTATTTGCCAACTAATAAAGGATATTGAATTACTTTTTCAATTGTAGGACTACGTGGAGCTGTTTTACCTTTAAAGGTACCAGAAAGTATTATCCTACGGCAAGTTCCATTCTGGTCGCGGTACATAAGACACTCTCCGTCCATATCCCTGGTCTTGTTGTGCGTAAATACAATACATATCGCCTTTAGATTTGCACTTCTCCCAGCCCGACCTGAGATTAAAAAGCAACGTTTAAGACAATTAAGCTCGTTAAACCTTTAATAGAGGTATATGTGCAGAGCGCTCTATAAAATTATTACAAATAACTTAATTGTTTCACATTACCCACCAATCATCTGGATGAAATCCTCTGCCGTACGAGCCATTTTCGAATGGATGACGTATTGGATCCCTAAAGAATATACATTTTTATCAAATTTACTATTAACCGTGTTTAACACAGAGAATCCATTTGTTTGAAATAGACTGTTTAAAGGTGTTTAAAATAGTCTTCGATATACTTGGTGCCAAACATAGTACATACCTGCTGCATCAAATCCCATAGATAAGGCACTTGTAGCTATGACGAATTTGATACGCCCATTGATATTCATTAGATCAGCCGCTATTTCTTCCTGTTTACTGTCTGGTATCTGGGAGTGAAATACTTCAACAAGACTAATTTTCCTCGGATCCTTTTTGAGTGCCTGAAATTAAGAAAATGTCACTGGTAATTGGTAAATAATGAGTTCCGTACACAGTTAACTTTAGTTAAGTCGGTAGATGGTTTAAATGCTGATAACCCGGCACAAAAAGAAATTTTTAAACAACAGTTTAACAAGTTTAAGTATGAACAAGTTAAATGGTTATGTCAGTCTTCAATATTTTATATCCCATATAAGCTAAACATGTGGCCATAAAATGAATTATTTAAGTATGTGCACAATCAATCATATTAATTGTATATATGCTGGCAAATAACCATTTTTACCTGCATGAATTCTAAATATCTATATCCGCAGTCAACCAACGAGTTTTCGAAGATTATCACCCTGGGACACTCTTCTGCTTCATTCTCAAGTAAGGACACCAGTGGTACTATGTCTAGCTTTCCCGGGATATTAATTAAAGAAATCCTGCTATTAACAGGATTTTGCGAGATTCTCATCAACTGATGCAACATTACAGAAAGTGTCACATATGCTCTAGTTCTTTCTAAATGTTAAAGCAGAGAAATCTGGCTATATAATATATTTATCAAATAAATGTGTAATAACAACAGATGTATACAATTACTGCAATTCTAAAAAATTTAAGTTTACATTAATGTGCTGATACGATACACTCCAAAATATTCCTAATTTTGTGTTGTTATCATAATCCCATTCCGCAGGGCACAACACCACAACTTCAGAAGATGCAAGGAGCGTGTTCTTAACTCTCCAAAACGAAGGTTGGTGAACAATAGAAAAATTGATATTTTGTTGGTTGGCGTTATCATGGTGAGAAACCAGGGGTATTACGAGATATTATAACGTCCCGAAGGTCATTTTAATTGTAATATTTATCCAATCTAGTACAATAATGTAGACCAAGGAATACCGATAGGGCAGCTAAGTAATTAAGTTTTCAAACTGGGGCGTTTTGAACATTATAGTACCTAACCACAAATGTTTAAAACTTCCGAGAATGGGCAGTATCGAGATAGCCCGACCACTGTCCGCGGACAGTTGTCCGCAGACTGTATAATAACAGTATCCCCTGAATCAAGCAAACAGGTGTTTGTGAATAGTTCAAAATAGATTCAAATGTGGTCTCTCGGATATAATTAGTTACTAATAATATTGATTGCTCAATGAAATAAATGATTACGATTAAAATGTGGTATATAAGTCGTTCGTTTTTGGTGAAGTATTATCAGTTGCCATCATCAACAACAACAACTATTCCAATTCCTGACATGGTACTCTTCTGTCTAATGGACGAAATTAATGGACCCACCGCCTCCCTCGAGACTTCCTATTCCAGAAAAACCTCCTAAAGAGCTCCATGTCCTGTTCTGGGTGTAATGCATCTATGTCCCTGGTTCCCTCCTCGTCCTCGAAGTCTCCAGATGGCCTGATATGGCGCTGCTCCCCCTGCAAGAAGTACAAGAATATCAGAACAGACAGCATCCTCTCTGGACAGAAGCTCGCTCTCAAGACCTTCATACAACTGCTGTTCGCAGAGTAGGGCTGAGTTCATCCGTTTCGTTTTCTCTGAGACCATAGTTGTAGTTGTTCAAGAAGGAGTTGATTATAGAAATGATTGATGCAGTCTGATAATAGTTATTCTTTATATATTGCATGATGTGAACTGATCTCGTAAGGTTGCTTAATCGTTTAATAAGCCTTGACACCACCGCTGATTGAAATTCGCGTGCGATGATGTGAACCCTGCTTGACTCAGGGGATGATGTGAACCCTGCTTGATTCAGGGGATGATGTGAACCCTGCTCGATTCAATGATTCAGGGGATGATGTGAACCCTGCTTGATTCAGGGGATACTGTTATTATACAGTAATATGATCTGGTAGACAGGTGTCTGCGGACAACTGACCGCGGACAGTTGTCCGCGGACAGTGGTCGGGCTATCTCGATACTGCCCGAGAATGTTGGGTTAATACAGTGGGTGCTTAATATGTTTACGGCATGTCTAAATAAGAGAGTTTGAATGCATGTCACGTGATATAGTTAACAGTCAGTGTAATTACGAGTCAGGGAATGTGTCTAGCTATACAGGGCCCTTTGGTGTATTTGTAATAAATTTTTTAGTGACGTGACACCTCTTAGTAATAAGTAGTGACGATTAACGGGACAAATTATGGTTAATTTTCTAAAAAACTAGCAAATATGTCACCTTTAGATAAAAAAAGGACCCACGCTCAAACATTTTTCGAGGTACGTTAAGCGCGCGCACCGCAGTTCCTTTTAATATGATTATGACGTATCGTCTCGGTTTAACAATCATAACGTGATCACGTACTGTACGTGACGTATAATCTTACTTATTTAGTGAACAAAGAGTGTGAGAGAGTGTGAAAGTAAAAGTACTATACTATACTGCGAAACGGACAAATTGGTTTAGTCAATAAACTGGGATGAACCGCTTTTGGTGTTACGCCTTACGGTCAGATAAATAAACTACTGTATTCTGGTCCCAATAGTTTACTGTGACTTTTGAGTTGAAGATTAGGCGTACATCATAATGTCCCTAGTGTTTTGTTTAGCTCACCAAGGTTTAAGGACTATTTGAAAGTGAGGGATTTTACTAAGAAGAAGCAAACATCGACCAATAGCTCTTATTAATGCTATTTGTTTGTTTAAAAGGCGAAATGTGGGATTCTATTCGCTTTAAATCCGGTTCCATAATGATACTTGACTTAGTGCGGCTTTGATGTCCGAGCAAAGCTATTATAAGTTAAACCTTAGTTTGTTAAAGTTGGCGGTTTTTCAAGAATCTCCGCCATACTGTCCATATCTCAGTTCTCGATAGGCGTAGAATCGTATCATACTGATAACTGATGTTGTGAGCAAAAACAACATAACCCCTCCCGCCTTGAGCCTTCCTGCTCGATATTATAATATTATATAAATTAGTGCTATCCCCAGATGGGTTTAAAGCTAATGGTGCTACTAATAGTTTTGCCTTTGGTATTTGAGACGGGTTTTGAGAAAATCTCTCTAAACAGGCATATTTACATGTTAGTGTGTTACTGAAATCTGTAATCTTTTCGGCAAATGCCAGCTACTGTAATAAACCAGAATTATAGCATATATTCTAAGATGACACTTATACGCAGCTCTGAACATCATACATTCTATTCAACTGTAATTATAGTGTTTAGAATTTGTATAATGTACTGGCACGTCTGCCAGCTTTATTCTGACACAATAGATATAAATCACTCTACACGACACCGGAACTTCGATATGTTCCTAAGTTATAAGTTACGTGAATTTTCAAGTGCATACGGTAAAGTGATCTTTCCTTCAGTTACGCAATTAAATAACTATTCGAAAACTGAAAGACTAGTTGTTCCCCTTGAAGATGTATGTACAGTAAAGCTTTGAACCCCGGCCCAAATTAATATCGCCTCAATCGAAAGTTGCTGGTAACAACTTATAAGTCAGTCTGATATTTCAGTCTCGGTGTAATTTTGTGTCGCCAAGCAAGGATAAATATACAGGGGGGAGGGGGGCAAAAGTCCTAATAGCTCAGTCACTGAGTGCCCAATCGAAATAATTCAATCGCATTACATTTGTCCTGAAAAAAATGAGAATTCTGGTTTCTCATATGACCGAGATATAATACTATAATATCTTCGCCACAGTATGCCATCTGCAAAGCAACAACCCTCTAAAATAAGACACGACGTTGGTATAAGACCCAACTTATGCCCACTGACCAGAGCTGGTCCAGATTCCAGAACTCAGAAGTCGATGGTAACCCTCCTGTTATGAGAGGGGGGGGGGGGCAACGTAGAATTCTACTCTACTTTATTCTACTTTATTCTACTTTATTCTACGTTCCCCCCCCCCCCCCCTATGAGAATATTCTCTAGCTGCTGTACGCTGCTTAGGATTTGTTTTTGTTCAGGGGCAGGCTTGTCACATAGGTCCAGGGCTTCCGGACTTTTGGGCATGGTGCAGGTTGTGGTACACACTCAACTAGGTGGTCTGAGAGTCGGAAAACCTCCAAAAAGAGATGTCATCAGAATGTAAGCCACTACCTGACTAACCTGTGAATAGAGTTTTCTAGACTCAATAATCATGGCAGGTAGTATCTTCGGTGCGTTGCTGAGATACCGATTTAGTGAGTAGTAGGATGGTCATCAAATCAGAAAAGGCAGACCTGAGTTGATAGCACGGTACTTGTAACGGTTTCCTCATTCTGCTCTCAGACTGACTAATGTCTCCACTTTTTTATCTCCTGTTAAGATTATCATTTCTCCGCTGTTAGGATTGTTCAATTATGCTTTTTATTTTGGACACACCATTGAGCCAGATTGTCGCAGCGTATGTCAGAGAAGTTCTGAGTATAAATATTATATAGGCTTATTCTGTCACAAACAATGAATTATTAATCTCATTTGCCCTATCCCCAAGTTCTGATAAGTCTACAAAGAAGATCAGTAAAAAATAACTGGGATATCATTACAGTTATTAAAGTTCCGATCGATGCTATTAGCCCAAATGAATGGGTTTTTATATAGATTCTAAACGAACACTTATTCTTTCAGGAGGGGATCTGCAATAAACAAAGACGATATATTTTTGGCCAGAAATTTGCGGAGTTCCTTCGTCTTGATATCGGTCTTGGCTGCAGTTGTATCTCTCGAAATCAGGTATTCACTATTAAAAGCTATCCTGCCTGGCTTAAATCCTGGTTGTTAAAATTAAAAGCCTTTTTGCATGGTCATCTTTAATTAAAAATAAATCAGCTTTGTTAATAATTTACTGTCGTCTCCTTGGTATTTCCACGGGAGACTTTGGGACCGGAAACTGATCCGGCCCCCAAAGAGGGGTCAGATCACGTCACCAATTAGTGACGTATAATTAGTGATGTGATCCATGGATTGAATTTAATTGACATAGAAATGGGCTAGATCTGGGGTAGAGTTCACATGTCAATTCTATAAATCATAGCTGTACATTAAGAAGTCAACATGATCTGACTTCTCGACTCGTAGATCACATAAAGGACGGGAGCTCTTGCTAAAGGGGGGGGGGGGGGGGGGGGGGGTTCAATCCATGGATCACATCACTAATTATACGCCACAAGCTTCAAGCTTGCATGTTAATTACTTGATGACGTATATGGTGGATCATATCACTCCGGCCCCAAAGTCTGGCAGCCGGTATTTCATGATAGAAGTTGGACATTTTCTCTCATTTTCACACGTAGAATCTTATTTTCTTTCCCTCAGTGACGGTTTGAGGAGACACTGCATCTCACTGCTCGGTGGAGACACGGGGATATGAAGCTGTTAATCCCTCTTAAAGTCCACTGCACGTTGTCACAGAGCCTCAGTCCGATCAGAGCAAGCAGCAAAGATCAAAGGAGACTTTTCCTCCAATGTCAAACAGATAAATTTCGACAGAAAACTTCTAGCAGACCTCGGATGATTTAGGAAAGTAAACATACTTGCAATCTGTAAGACAAGTGACTCTACAGGAACTAGCAAGAGGCAGAGAAAGTGAAGAAGATTCGACGACCGAAGCCTAGCAGATAAAATAATAGCCGATGAATTTGATACGACATCATAAAATACTGGAGTCCACAAAGGAGCATGTCCTACTTTTCAGCCGCTCCTCAATCGACAGATCCTCTTGATGGCTTGCAGACATCACGTCCTTGAGGCGGATCTTGTAAGAGGATCTGCCTCTAAGCAACTGTTCGGTGACACAACATCACTTGAAGTAACCCTTTTTAAGATCATGAAGACCTCCTGGGAAGATCTCAATCTGCAGAACATTGTCCTTCCTGATATCCCTACTTGCAACAGGAACGGAAGATCTTCTATCCTTCATTACTCAAATCCGTCAACTCAACAACCAGCCCAGGAGAATAAAAGGAATTACTAGAGCTAAACTTATCCATGGAGAAAGCATAGAGATGAAGAAAGGATGCGTCTTCCAGATACAAAGACCTGGAGCTGACCACCATGTCAGATGGATGGCTAAGTCCATATACATTATGAAAATGATTCTACTTCACTAGATACCACTTCACTGGACGAAGAAGAGAGACGTGCAGAAGATGGCTCACGTTGTTGTCTTCGTTTACTTAAGAGCTTGGTTCAACGCTCCTTTCCTTGAATCTGCAGCCTCCGCCGACACCCGTTTGTTACACTTACAGAGTCTTCAGAAGTACAAGAGTGTGGACAGAGTATTAGCCATCATCACGACAGTCCTCAAGACATACCTTTAGAGCGAAGAACTCTCCTTGCAGCAAGAATAGGCCAACAAACTCTTGAAGCAATTCAAGTTGGAACTTGAAAACTTGTGTTCGGTTGTTAATGTTATTGAGCTTTATGAACGTCAAATAAGCCTAATTGATGAAAAATTATTCTGATATGTTTTGGTTTTATGACCAGGGGTTATGACAAATATATAATAAGGATGTTGGTCTAGTTTCTCGTACGGGTTTTCAACATACGCTTTAGTCCTACACTCTAGTTTGGGGTTGGATTTTAAATAGTCACTTGAAGTACGTGTTAAAGTATCCTACGTGTTGGTCGAGTGTTGAGTGATTAAACATCTTGATCGCATGTTTATTGTTTACTGTTTAGTGTAGACCTTGTTCAGTAGAAACTCAGTACGGTGGTCCGCGGTAAATTTCATTCTTTATTATACGAAAATGCATGACCTGCATGAGGTATGTTACCTGGGGACCCCAGGCTATAATGTTCCGCCGAATAGAGATTCGGCGGAATGACAGACTAAGCGCCGCCCAGTAAGAGGTATGATAATACTGGGTTTCGAAATCTTTTAAATATCTATTCGATTGAGTCTTATTACCTGGGGACCCCGTTTTAAATTCTCATAAACGTATCAATTGAATATATTTACTAAAACTCAAGTCTCATATTAAAGTATTAATATGACAACTGTGTTTAAGAACACAAAGCCCGGGGTCCCCGGGTAAATTTAAAGCTAGGAATCATTATATTTATAAGTGAATTGTGTATTTGGTACTGGCCATAGTACTCCCGTCAATCTATTTGTCATGTCAATAGTTTACTGTTTACGAATGAGTCCATCATGTACTGTTCTCTTTGATGTATGTAATCAAATTATTAGATTATTAAAGTTAACATTTTGTGAAATGTCAATCACTTTATTATATTTACCTCAACCTGTAGACCTCTGGCTTTTAACACAATTGATATACCATATATAATATATGGTGGAATTACATCGGTCGCGTTTTTGTGTGGAATGCTAGGCGAGTTGTTATGTGATCATATTCATTAATTAATAATAGTTATATAATCATGAAACCTTTGATCCGTCAAAGTTCGGAATTGCAATTGACCAAAGGACATGAGGAGAACCTTCATGAAGTATCACGCTACTGCACCTAGAACTTACATTTCTCTTGTTGCCACTGTCACGTACTTCTTCAAAAACGTATGAACGGTCTTCAGATATGAGATTATTACATTACAAAACATATATTTTGCGCGCTCAGCATTCCACGCGCAAAAACGCGCCCGTTTAGAGAGACTTGCGCGTATTAGAGGGTTCAGTCTCACCAGGCTATGTTAATGAACATAATAGCCTGGGGTCCTCAGGTAAAAAACAAATACCTACTTGCCCATCGATTAAGCAGTCGCCAAAACAAGGCTCAAAGTTAATTTACCTTCACACCTTGTTTTGGAGATTGAAGGATGTCAATGAATAAATAATGGATAATATTAATACTGAATATGATGGATAATCAGTATTACCAATAAAATCCACAATCACGAATCATGTTTTAGGAAAGAAAATTTTTTTTAGGAAAGAAAAATTTTTATTTACCACAAAACAATCAATACATAATGTTATATTCATAAATAAATTCAAATTTCAATTTCAAACACATATACAGTACGCCGCGCACACAGCCACGATGGGCAAGCACTCGCAACTGGATGCCGAAACAAACGGCACAAGTCTTGCACCGTTCATGCAGCATACGTCGCGAGATATCATGAGCTCCGCGCCGCTAACTCTGCGATTCTAACGGATGAATTAGGCTCCCCTCCGACAGAAACACAGGTAATAGGGGGTTGTGGTAGGACACGAACACTGTTCGTTAACTCGTACCCTGGGTACCCCCTAGATTTATGTCCCGCCGGAGAGAGCTCACCACCAGTCATATCGAAAGCAGCTTTTAATTCTGCATTGTAAATATCCCGTCGTCATAATAAATATATATTACCACTACACACTTGTCACTACACACTTTTATGCACAGTACAACTAAAGTATTAACAAGAGACAGAAGAGTTTTACATCGGCTCAGCACCGCCAGGACGTTGGCTATACAGGTGGTTCATAAATTAGTTTGATTTGGGTACGGTTCGACCGGGAAAGTGGTCGGGATTAGTTCTCATAATGAGTGATCACTGTCGTCAGAAATATTAGAGCGGGAACTTCCCCAGGTTCCAGACGAAACGCGCACAGTATTTAGAGTTTCAGCGCGCAATGCTGTGCGCCTTCCCATATTGTTTTGTCATTCGGCGATCGCGTTCAACGTGACTGGTGAGGAAGTGTTATGTTGTTTACCTAAATTCAAGCATGGTATTCATAGATAAGATTAACAGTCAGTAAGTGGGAATAACAGGCACAAATCACTTTATACTCATAATTCAGTGAAATTTTTGTCACACCAATCAGTTCCATACCTGTTTTGAGCTCTTAGAAGTAACTGTTTAAGCAAATTCTTGACAGAGCTGCAAGAGGAGGTGAAATTCATCGGCCCAAACACAGATAATGGACAATATACCGACAACAATACTAAAAACCCGAGTGCCGCATTGACTTTTCCGAATCCGTTTTTGTTATAACCCTGTCTGGGTTACTGGTTTACAAAGAATACACAAATTATAATTACAATTAAAAGAATAATAAAGTTATAGTAATACAATGAGTACAGTGGCGTAACGACCGCCCCTGCTAACCCTGCTAGCAGGGGGGCGGCACCTTAGGGGGGCGGCATTTTTCCGCCCCATTACACAATTTTGCCGCCCCCTGTAGCCGGTGATGACCCGTGACTCTTCATACCGAAGTAAAAAAAGTAAAGAAATTAGTTGAACGTGTCTACTACTCCAAAATTCTACACGAATTTATAGCGCAACTTAACCACGCGCTGAAAGTTGCGCAAAAAGTGATAACGATACTACACTTTCATTGTTTAAACTTTAGCGCGGAGGCCAATTTCTAATGATGCGCGGTGTGACTAAAGTTTATACGACGGTAATTGTGTGAACTCTAACCTTCGAGGTTTGCAGTTTGTGACTTTTCAATAATTTTAAATCCGGCTCCTTAAAACCTGGGCTCTGGCCATGTTAGTTATCGTAGTAGGACAAATAGAAACAACCGTTTCGAGATACACTTATAAATTATGTTAAGTAAAATAAACATCATGATCACAGATCAAGTCAACCCAATTACAACAATTTACAAAATACAAAAAAATAAATAAATGTTCAGTGGAAACGCTTGATGCGCCCTGCTTTTGCACTGGCAAATTTTTGTACCAGCTTCGAGCGATCAAGTTTGTCAACCTCACTGTTCTCAATTGAGATGAGAGCTAAATCCTTAAGTCTAGATTGTGACATAGTCGACCTTAGATAAGTTTTTATCAACTTTAACTTCGAGAAGGACCGTTCCGCCGATGCAACAGTGACTGGTATAGCTATGAAAAGCATCAAGGCTGCTACCAACTGCGGACACAACAGCGGAAGGTCTCTCTCGAAGATAAAGTTGATCAACTGGAGAGGACTTGTCACATCTTCGGTCCTTAGCTCACTCCCGTAATCTTCCTTCAGGTCAATTAACTCGTCTGCCAATGATGGCTGCAAGTCCTTGTGGTAGATCTTTACCAACTCATTCGCAGCAGTTCGGAGGTCCGTGCAACTCTTCGTCAGTATGTGTTTGGGCTGCAAACACGCGAACTTGCTCACTATTGAGTTGTGTCCCTCAAATCGAAGAAGGATTTGTTCCCGACATGTCTTCAGTGTGGGAAGAAATATCTGTACCTTGAACAAATCCTTCTTCGATGGTTCTGGTAAGTTCTGGCCACGAAGTTGACCAGAATATCTGTAGAGGTTCCGGGCCATGGTGAGCTGGAATGACTGCTCGGCCCCAGCATAGATGGCTTGCTGCTGAGCTTCTACGATGAGAGTATCCCAATTTCCCTCTAGATTTCGGAGAAATCTTGTAAAGCTGCTGAGAGCAGCTGGCACAACTCCAATGTCCAGGTTTTTAGCCTGGAGCATGTTAGTAATAGTCTGTGCCTTGGAGAGCAGCTTCTCCCAAAACACCAGAGTAATGGTGAACTCGAAAGTTCTAACTCTACTCAAAAGTCCCGCAGATGTTCGGCAGTTGGTGAGTGATAGCTTCGTCAGAAGTCTGATGATATCTGGCTGCCGATTCTTGATGGCCCTAACGCTTTCATGACGAGACGACCACCTCGTTGGGCAAAGTTTTTTTAGGTCTAAGCCCGGAGAGTTCATCTTCAGCTCCTCCCAGCGTAATGAGCTCGATCCAACAAACGTAAAAACCTGGCCCAGACAGTCGAAGAAATCACTGGTGTGGTTGGTAGCAGCCACAACATCTTTTATCACCAAACACAGATTGTGGGTCGAACAGTGCACGAAGGGAACAGGGTTCGTGGTTCTGTTCTTCAGTATCGTCTGTACTCCCCCATAAACTCCCGACATAACACTGGCTCCGTCAAATCCCTGTCCTCTAAGTTTGTCCAGCGTGATTCCCAGCTTCTGGAGTTCTTCAATAGCGAGATTAGCAATAGCCTCTGCTTTTCCAGATGACATTGCGATGAATCCGAGGAAGGTCTCATGCACCTGTACTTGAGAGTCTCGAACGGAAACCCAGCGCACCACCAAACTTAATTGGTCTACCTGTGAGGGAAATATGTCAATAAAATAGCTTCTAGATTCTAATACACATCCGATGGAAGAAATAAATGTACAACATAGTGAAAAGGGAAGGTGTAACGGTATTTTTCTTTACCATTGTCCACTGTACAGACATAATCATATTACATAAACAAATTTGAAATCAAAATGTATTTGACCAAAAGATGGAACGAACCTTTCCCAGATCAACTGTCGAATCAAGGATAATCGAAAAGTAGGGGCTCTTTAGGATATCCGATACCAAGGAGATCCGCATTTCCTCGGCGATAAGGGAGATCAGCTCGTTTTGGATCGCAGGGCTCAGATATTTGGTCTTCCCCTTGGGCGTGGCGATCACTTGCTTCAGGAGACCGTCAAACTGGGCAAGCAGTTTGACCAACTCTAGGAAGTTGGATCCCTCACAAACTCCATCCCCCACAACCTCTCTGTGTCCACGTAATCCAATGTTCATAGAGGCAGCAGCTATTATGATGGCAATTACCCGCTCGACGACCAGAGTCCACTTTTTTTCGTTCTCCTCGATGATCTTCAGCTCTTGAAGATCGACTGGGCTTTTGATGAAGTGCAGTCGATTTTTATGCGCCTCTGCGTGGCTCTCGGACGTCTCATGTGTCTTCATCTTCTTGGAGATGCCATACTTCTTACTGGGAAGAATCTTGTCTGCCCACGGTGATTTGGCTTTATCCCCGAACAGCCAGCATGTCTCGCAGTAGGCATATTTGCCTAGTGGAGAATAGCAGAGCCATTTTCTTCGCAGTTCGAGTCCATTCTGTTGCTTACTAACATAGTAGTTCGACAACGTTGAGGGTTGACAAGGTCCGTGTTGCAGTATCGCCCGCTTGTCAGCGATGCTGAGACATTGTCTGTCTTTGAACAGCTCCTTGTCGCTCGGCCAGTTCACCTCCAGTGATAGAGCAGCTGCAGCTTCCACTACAGCATCGACTTCGTTGCTTCCTTCACCTGGCGCAGATTTCATGATCAACTGTAAAAAGCAAGCCAAAAATGAAGATGTTTCTGTGAAAAGAAATTTAAGGATGTGGCAGTCAATCTATGATGTAATATCTAAGATCACACCATTCACGACGAGATAATAGACTGATTATCGTATCATACTCCGTATTACTATTTGTTAGTAATTAGTTATGAGTTATGATAACAAGTCAATTATATGTACTTTCTTGCACTAACAGGAGTTTTAGAGAATCAT